CCTTAAGTACATAGAATATGGCCTTCGGTATATTATAAATAAGATCCCCATATACACCATACTCTATCTACTCAAGGGGGACTATAAACCCTTAACCCTCAGCCCTAAACCCTCAACCCTAAATCCTAAACCCTAAACCCTTAACCCTAAACCCTAAACCCTTAACCAAAGATCTTAGATCCCCACCTTGCCCTCGACGTGCTCAATGTTGCCTCGCGCCCCCTGCTCATCGAAGCCGGTAAAGACCCGGGCGAAGTTCATGATGTCCTGCATTGTAGGGTTGGGGGTTTAGGCTTAGGGCTTAGGGTTGAGGGTTTAGGGCTTAGGGTTGAGGGTTTAGGGGTTAGGGTTGAGGGTTGAGGGTTTAGGGTGTCCTGCAGGGCTGCAGTTAGGGAGCTTTAAAGGGGGCTTGTGGGGTTATAGGGGTCCTAAAGGGGCCTATAGGGTTTCGAGTGTAGGGTTCAGGGGGCTTGCTGTTAAGGAAATCAAATTAAATTACCATGATATTCTTATATAATAGATAACAACAGTGTTGTAGGATAACAAGGTTTCCTAGGTTTTCTTACTATTACTATCAGTAACTTAATTCAAGCTTCTCAACGGCAACCCAGCCTATGGGAGGTGAGCGTAGGATTCCGAATCTCTCGTTGGGGTTTTGAGTTTTAAGTTTAAACGCGCTTAGGGTTAGAAGGGGTGCAAGGTTTAGGGCGGGGGGCAATATCAAAAATTGCACAGGGACTGTGTTGAGAAAGCCTCATCTCGTCAAAAGTCATGAGGAAGTTGAATGCCGACTCATTGGTTGATCCGGAGAAGGAAAACAAAAAGGCTCGAAATCAAGGGTTTCGGGTTTAGGGGTTCAGGGTTTTAAGGTTTAGGGGAGACAACGCCACCAACCCGCACTCAAAGCTACCCAGTGAAATGAAGCATGGCAGCCTCAGCAATGAAAATTCCAAGCCTCAGCCTAAAAATGAACTCTAAACCCTAAACTCTACACCCTAAACCCTAAACCCCTAAACCCTAAACTCCAAACTCTAAACTGCGAGGCAATCTTCTTCCTTATGGCCACGTAGTCAGGGTATTCGTTCAGGGAGTCAGCCCAGGGTTAAGGGTTTAGGGCTTAGGGTTTTGGGTTTAGGGCTTAGGGTTTAGGAGCTAGCCCATATAGATACATCTTCATGAAGCCTAGGCGGGCGGGCATTTTTCGGAAGTACTTGAAGGCTCTCCTTGCTGGTGGTTAGTAGGGAATCAGGGAATATACTCCCTACATAATATATTCCATTATTCCCTACCCTGGGCCCTAAACCCTAAACCCCAAAGCCTATATTACCCCCAAATTTCCCCTTGTTCTCTACCCTAAGCCCTAAACCCCAAAGCCTATATTGCCCTATATTTTCCCGTATTAGCCCTAAACCCTGGACCCCAAACCCCACACCCAATATTACACCTATATTCCCCCTTATTCCCTACCCCACGCCCTAAACCCTAAACCCCAACCCCAAACCCAATATTACACCTATATTTCCCCTTATTCCCTACCCTAAGCCCTAAGCCCTAAACCCCAAACCCTATATCATACCTACTCATATTCTCTTGTTCCCTACCCTAGGCCCTAAACCCCAAACCCTATATCACCCCTACTTATATTCCACTTATTTCCTACTAAACCCCCAGCAAGTCTCCTCGTTGCTGTAGGTCGGGATCTGGTTTCCATCGCTGTCTAGCATCCTCAGCTCCAAGATAAAGGGACTTTACTGGGAACCCCAAACAGGGAACCCCAAACGGGGAACCCCAAACGGGGAACCCCAAACGGGGAACCCCAAACGGGGAACCTCAAGAATATAGTTTAGGGTTTACGGGTTAGGGTTTAGGGTTAATGAAGGGATACAAAAAGAATATACCTACCAGGGTCCTTATATTCTATTCTATTCCTACTATATTCTTGGGGTTCCCTGTTTGGGGTTCCCATTAGAACCCTTTTTAAAGAGAGGTTTCAAGTCTTGGAAAGCCAGGGCTGACGGATCTGGGATGGATTTAGGGTTCAGGGCTTAGGCCCCAAAACCCTAAACCCTCAACCGGAAACCCTACATCCAAAGCCCTAAGCCCTCGAAACTAAACCCGAAATCCAAAACCCTCAAACCTAAACTCTGAATCAAAAACCCTAAACCCTCAACCCTAAACCCTTAATCCTAAACCCTAAATCCAAATCGCATATGGTGGTTTCCCTACACCGTGCTACCCCAATATAGCCCCACAATAGTATAATCCAAATTTATAAGGACACCCAAAAAGCTATCCCTAATTTTGGGAAACTCCCATATGAGCCTTAGTCTAAACTCCTAGTATCCCCCTTATCAAGCCCTATAATAATCCCCTACATAATCCCCTATATAACACCCCTTTAAGGAGTTTAGACTATGGCTCATATGGCCTCGAAAAAGGAATCCCAAGACATGCCCAGTGTCCGAGTGCCATCCGGATTCAGCTGCCAGAGGCCAATAGTGAAGAGCTGCATGATCTGGCCAGCAGATTTTAAAGGGATGTATAGGGTTTACATAGGGGTATGTAGGGATATTTAGGGTCTAGGGGGGTCTAGGGGGGCTATATAGGGGCATATATGGATATTTAGGGTTTAGGGGGGTTATATAGGGATATACAGGGATATTGAGTTTAGGGTTTCCCAAATTAAGGGTACCTTCATGGGGATCCTCAAAAATGAGGGTTATAGTGCTTGTAAAGGGTAGCAGACTTAGTAATGTGTCAAGGGATGAGAGGTTGAGGTTCCGGGCAAGACCATAATGCTGGCAATCATTTTGGCTACTGTTTTCTATTCTCCGGCCCAGGACTTGGGAATAATGGGCACAACAGGCCATCGGAATACAGGGGCATGTAGGAGCACATGTGGGCCAGTCTAGGGTACAGAGCTTTGGATTCAGGACTTAGGGCTCAGGGTTTGTGAGTTGAGAACTATGATTTTACCTTAGGTTAGCCAGGGAATTGAGAAATGGATCCTTATAGTGGTCCCTATATAACCCACCATAGTAGTTTTGATTTTTCCATTCCTTCACTCCCAGCTAACCATAGGCCTAAACCCTAAACCCTAAACCCTAAAGGGACCATGGGCAGTAAAGAGCGGAGCCTTGGATTTCTTCCTAAGGAGCACAGAGACCCCTGGGCATTTTGAAGGAATCATAGGGTTTAGGGTTTAGGGTTTAGGGTTCATGTTGAAGATTACTATCATTATGACTACGACTATTATTACTACAACTATTACTACTATTATTATTCCTGATATTACTATATTATTACTACTATTGCGTGCCCACAGGAAGATCAGCGAGATTGCTCGGCGTTTCCTAGCGTCCAGTACTTACCAACTCAGGAAACTTCTGAAACTCAAAACAGCCTGCCACCATGCAGCATCGGAGGGACATGTGGTAGATTCCAAAAAATAGGGGTAGCCCAATGTAGACCCCCAAATACCATACTCCTAAACCCTAAACCCAAAATTCCTTACAATGAGGACCCCAAAATGTTACTCCTAATTTTTGGAAGCCCCCTTATGTTAATGTTCCTCACGAGCTTTTGAACTAAGGTTCCTGAACGTACTATTACTATCATTATGACTACTATTATTACTACAACTATTACTACTATTATTATTCCTGATATCACTATATTATTCCTGCTATTATTATTCCTGATATCACTATATTATTCCTACTATTATTATTCCTGATATTACTATTATTGCTAGTATTGGCTCATTCCGGAAGCACACCTCGCGTGCGTAGTTCTCATCTGGGTAGGCACCATCGCTGTCGAAGGCCCGATTCCTCTTGTAGGTGAGGTAGTCTCCCATGACCTGTGTCAAATTCCGCTAATTTGGGTTTGTTGAAAATAGCGTCCTCACTCACCAGATGGAATCAAGGAATAATCTAAGGCTAAATGGACTGTTCAAGATCCACATGCCGTGCTATGAAGGCCTCACGTTTACCTCATGTGGGCGAGGCAGTCCGACTGTGACATAGCCTCCCAGAGGGCCCACACACCATGAAACAAAACATATTTCAGAGTACACTAGGGCTCCTCATGGGAAGTACAAAACGCCTTTGACAGCGAGGCATAATGGGATCACTGGACACAAGATGGGGGGTACAGTTTTAGGGGTCCCCATAATAAGAATTCCGTGCTGGGGTCCCATTCATGGGAACTACCAAATGACAATGTAGACCCCTGATGAATAAGGCCCCTTCCCTGAATACGGTTTAAAATAGACATCCTAATATTCAGATCCTTACACGGAAGGGGTTTATTCATCATGGGCCTACATGACCTAACGACAGACAGCCGAGGAGCTGGGCTGTAGGTTACCTCGCGCAGGATGTCCGCAAAGTTGCCGAACGCATGACGAACAAAGATGTCGTAGAAGTTCACAAACCTGCAGCTTCAAGGACATTTGGCCCTAAACCTTAAACCCTAAACCCTAAACCCCTAAACCTTAAAGAACAGGGGGAACCCCAACATGGACCCCAAATACTATAATCCTTATAAGGAGCCCCAGCAAGGTATCCCTAATTTTAGGCAGCCTCTTTTAAGAAGCCAACGTGAGAGAGGCGCGGCGGTCCGAGAACCCCAACGCTTCTTAGACCTGAATACCTTGCGGTACTTCTTGATGGTTAGTGGGGAATACGGTAACATTTTCCCGGTAAAGACCCCTATATAGTTAACATATTCCTCTCTTCCCTACTAACCCCCCCCCCGGGCTAACCTCATACTGTGTATCTTTCCCACTTCTGTGTGTTGAACTGCCCGTCTCACCCGTTTACAGTCTATAGACCCGAAATGCCTCAGCCCTAAGCCTCTCAAGCTGCATCCTGAGCACATCTCCGTGTGCCGCCCCGTGGTATCATCTGGCGCCACGACGAAGATCTGCAGAATGAGGTCTTGGGTATTCATAGAAATTACGAGGGTGACAGTCATATCGGATAACAACAAGTAATCTAGGAACTGCCATGATCATTATCAGCAGCTGCATTGCCATCATCAAGTTGATCATCCTTAATCATCATTGATGTTCTCGCGCGCATAAACAGTCAAGAAAAGCCAGCATCCTGACCATCATCATCAACATCACCATCACCACAATCATCTTCATCACCATCGTTGCCATCACCACCGTTGCCATCGCCATCGTTGTCATCACCACCGTCGCCATCACCATCTTTGTCATCACCATCATCATTATTATCATCCATATTGCCGCTCCCTTTATGACCTACAGCAGAAAAGTAGGTTGCGGGACACTGTCCTCGTCGGGCCGATGCAAGGTCTTGCGCATAGATCCCCTGACCTGAAACACTCTCCTTGGAATCAGAAAGGGTTTAGGGTAACTCTGAGCCACAAAGCTTAAAAGCCGATCCCCAAGCCCGAATCCCAACTCTAGACCTCAAACCCTCCAATCCACCCCCCAAACCTGATATCTCCCTACAAAACCCCTACATACTGCTATAACCTACTACATAACCCATATAAGCCCTTATAAGCCCATTTATGACCCCTATATAGCCCCTGTAAGCCCCTATAAACGCCACAAACCCTGCAGCCTGAACCCTATAAGCCCCTATAACCCAACCCCTAAACCCTTAACCCAAAGCCCCTGTAAGGTCCCATAACCCCATGAGCCCCTGTATGACCCCTCTCACCTCACAAGCTCCTTTAAAGCTCCATTGGCTCCCTAGGCCTGGGCCAGCGCCCATGCCATACGCTGACGAAGCTGATCCGGAGCCTGACCACTCCAAAGGGCATTGGGTTTGGGATTTAGGGTTTTGGGGTTTGGGGTTTGGGGTTTGGGGTTTAGGGTTTGGGGTTTAGGGTTTTGGGTTTGGGGTTTAGGGTTCAGGGGCCATGGGTTCAAACCAATTAAGGACGATATAGGGGCTATGTGAGGGTGAGTGTAGACCCTAAACCCTAATCCCTAAACCTATAGCTTATTGGGGGTGTAGAGTTCAGGGCTCCAGGCAGGGGCCCATGAGTTCAGATCTTCAAGTTCAGGGCAATGTCCTTCTCTCTTGAAAGGGGGCATATTGGTTTAGAATTGAGGGGGTCTACTGTAGGATTTAGGGTTCAGAGATAAACCGTGAACCCAAACTTAATCCCTAAACCCAGGGTTTGAGCTCAGGGTTTGGAGTTTTGGGCCTTGGGGTCTTGTGTTTGGCGTGAACGTGGAAGTGGCAACCTTGACATTCGGAGTAGACCCTATGGGTTTGGGGCTTAATGACCCTAAACCCTAAACCCTAAGGCAATGGTTGTCCATAGGAACTGCGGCCTTAGACTCTTCAACAAGCTGGAGTGCCACAAAAGAACTAGCTCAGGGTTTGGAGTTTTGGGCCTTGGGGTCTCGTGTTTGGGTGAACGTGGAGTGGCACCTTGACATTCAGAGTAGACCCTATGGGTTTAGGGTTTAATGACCCTAAACCCTAAACCCTAAGGCAATGGTTGTCCATAAGGAACTGCGGCCTTAGACTCTTCAACAAGTTGGAGCGCCATAATCAAGAACTAGGCCTGTTAATAAGACGAATCACCAGCAACTCTGAGACATCCCCTCCCCACGCTGTTACACATCTGCCTCTGAACGAAAGCATGGGTTCAGAGGGCTACCCGTTTTGAGGGTATATACTACTAAGCTGAACCAGGGGGCTGTCAGTGTGGCTTATCCAGCATGTTAAGGCGTGGCGTTTAAGGCATCGCTTGATTAAACTTATAGCCGAAGCAGCAATACGAAAACGTTGAAAACCACGAGCACAATAATCCCAAGCCCCCCAATTCTAAAAACCTTCTGCGCGCAAAAACTCTTAACCCTTCATAAGAAAAGGATGTTGGTAAACCCAACCCCTAGAATTAGGACCCTATAACTATCGTAGGATGGTTACGGGGTCTTAATTTTGGGGTTGAGGTTATCACTGAAACCCTAGAACCCTAAGCCCCTAGCCATCCTTCTCTATATCTACATCTGTATTTATGTGTATATATATATATATGATATAGTTTTTTATCTGACGTGATAGGCCTGAGCCTGAATGAAATGCTTAACCCGAAGCCCTAACTTCTGGTCCTAAGCTCTCAACTAACACGCTACACGCTGAAACCTTAAATCCTGTCTTTCCTACACCTACTGCAGAATGACACCTCGTCCTCAGATAATAACAGGAACAATAATAGCAGCAATGCTAATAATAGAGTAATAGTAGCAATAATAGTAGCGACATAGTTTTAAAAGTCATCATGATAATGATTAGAGCACTTCGTGGCCTCCAGGGCGATCATCGTCCAAATGGACGCCCGGCCGAGATCCGGTACCTGCAGAAGGTGTTGGGTGCAAACAATTTCAGGGTTTTCGTCCCCCTGAAGTAGATAGAATATTTCTTTGGGTACATCAAAATAAGATCCCCATTTACTTCAGGGGGACGATATGCTCGGAGGATCCCTCCTAGTTTTACTGTGGAGTTTTTAAGCATAATGATAAGTTCCAACACTTACCGTACTTGCAACGCGACAGATAGCTCCTCATGAATCCGAACTAAGTATCATTCGGGCGCTGTAGGGTTGAGAGGTTATGGGCTTAGGGCTTAGGGCTTAGGGTTTAGTGTTGGGGTGGTCCTGCTTTGCTTGCAGAGGGAGCCAGGTGAAAGAGGTTGTTGTTGCTTCTATCCCATCCTCCGGCAGCCATGATACCACGCCACGAAACTGGATTGCTGTTAAGAAACTTAGTTTCATTACTACATTGGGGAAGCCATATTAATTTCGATATATATATATACATATATACCCATAGGGGTATCTTAAGTTAAGTTCCTTAACAGCAAGCCAGGAAACCCTCCTCTGGCCCAAACCCTCTACACTGTGTCGAGGTATGCTGGTTGTCGGTCTGAACAAAAAAAACAAAGCTGATGGTTCTCAAGCTGCTCGTGTTTTTTGTCAAACGGGTCTGGGCTCCTGGCGCGAGCGAGGAGCCCTCAGGAATCATTGGGGCTGAAAGGTCAGGGTCGAGAATTTGCTGGCGCAGAGATGCGGAGTTTTGCAAAAAGTCAACCTGCTTTTTCAGTAAGGATGAAAAAGACTGTGTAGGTACAACACGAAGTGCTGTGGGGCTCATTCGTCCGTGGTGCTTATGCCTTTGGCCTTCTGTCAGGAAGGATCGACGCTAAGGCTTCAGAGGTTTCTCATGATTGGCAGTTCCCTTTCGGGGTGGATTCGTGTGATACACGAGGACTTTAACTTTAACGCTAAGATTCAGCCTCCTTGTAAGCTTGTTAACTCCATAGAAGTGACGATATACATGTTTTCTCTACCAAGGCCCTGTTTAACCCGAACAATACCAACCGGGAACGCCACACGCAGGGACCCGTATACCCAGCGGTTGTAAAACTGTAGTCCATTAGACCTAAAATATAAAGGAGAATTCTATTAATTCCTTAAGGTTTACATATACTAAACATGAAAGAAATTTTCCTAAGGAGACTGCAGAGAACCGTCTCCCACCTCGCTTGGCGTGTCATAGTCCACATCGAAAGCCGTGTCCACCGGGTCCTAGCACAGACATGCCATCACAAAAAAAGGCTTGCTTCATGACTTTAACCCCAAAAATGAAGACCCTATCCCTAAGCCATCCATGACTTCATGACTTTAACTCCCAAAATGAGGACACCATCCCTAAGTCATCAATCCTCAACCTTAAATCCGAAACCCACCGTCGTCCTCGGACACGTGGAAGGAATACTGGTGGCCCATGTCCAAGCTGTTGGCCACCTCCAGAATGAAAAAGTAACAGTTTTCGGAAAATAGCCGGGAGGCTATGATATAGCTGGATTGTAGGGCGGGTCCTTCGCAAGGACCATTATATACCATAACATATGGAAAAACATAATATACCATAATATACTGAAACATATCATCCAATTGTCTTTCCTGGGGGTTAGGGTTTGGGTTTACTGTTTGAGAGGCTCCTACGTAGCTTTTTTGGGATTAGGGGTTTGCAGAGTAGGGTTAAGAAGAAAATTTTGGGGCTCGACTTTCAAAGTCCTATGTTTTACCAGGATCCAAAGTTTTGGGGGTGCAGATGCGGAGACAAGCTCAGCTTAAGGATTCCCTCACTCAACGTCAAGACCACGGTCGCCCCAACCCAGCACGAGCGCTGCAAGAGCACCAATCGACCCCAACGAAGTTGCTCAAGATGAAATCTCAAAACCAACATTTTCTCTGAAACAACTCAAGTAAACTCTGCTGGAAGTGACTTGCTTGCTGTGGAAACCCTATGAACCCTGGCCCAGGAGGTAGGCAACACTTTTTTTATGCAGGACATTGAACCATGAACCACTACGGCAGAAAGCAAGCAGCTGCCCAAGGATGCAGCAGTGAATCTACAACCCTACCAACATGGAGTTGCCAGGTAAATCTGGGGTGGGATTCCGAAAACCAGGTGTACTTTTGTTTTGGGGGGGGTGCCTGTAGCAAGAATTATGGTATTTGGGTGTCTATATTGGGGTCTCTCGTATCTGCGACGGTACCACATGAGTTTCAAGATTCTGGTGTTAGCCCTCAACAACCCTCATGATCTCTTCGTATGTCTCCTTGGGTCCCCAAAATGCTATTCTCTCAGAAGCCCATATGAAACAGTATTTCCTACAAGTGCTCCCCACACTCGCGGGGTCATCCAGCTAGGAGCTCAATGCTCCCCCTGTTTTTAATCAGCCCTAAACCCTGAAGCCAATATTTTCATGTTCTAGGGTTTAATGCTTAGGGAAGTTTCAGGGTTTAGGGCAGTGTCCAAGCCTCGCCAGGTGAACCACAGACTTCGGCAAAGCCGTTGAAACTCTCCTGCGAAGGCTTGATGGAGGAAATTTCGCATTCCATAAGAACCTTAAGCCCTAGACTACTAGACCCCAAAATCATCTTTCCTGGGGGAGAAGGTAAGGTGGATGCAGGAAAGCTCTGAGTGACTAACCATGCCCCTTCAATGGACATGAGCGCCTCACACCAAGATTCAGCGCTTGGGTGTTAGACCTCTACATGTTGCTTACATCCTGAACCCGGGAGACAGAATTTTTAAGCCATTCATCAAGGGTCATATCATCCCGGATGCATGCAGACCCTTAATGCGTGCACCAGGGGGTAGTTAGAAGAGCCCTTTCGGGGCGTTCTGTCGTCGAGCCCATGTCATGAACTTCGTTCAGAATACCTCTCCAAAAGCTGACCAGAAAGTGGACTCCTTTTGGTTAGGATTCCCCCTTAAGGAAAGGTGTTCCCGATAGTCTCTTCTTTACAAGGAAGGCTCTCTACAAACCCCACAGCTACAAACGATATTTCCGCACAATTAATGGATATGGGCTCCTAGCAGGGAATATATTCGGGACTAATCTATCCCAAACTACCAAGGGCCCCCTATGTCCACCCGTAGTGTTCCCTTGGCGAGTTAATCCTAAGATGGGCAATAGCTCATATACTGAACCTTAAGATGATAAGTGCCCAAAGGCGTCCACGCAGCTTTGCTGCACTTCTGCATGAGCCCTGCAAGAAGAACGTGCCTTGAAGGCAGTAAGCGCACATTATTGCAATACATATATACGCATATCTATAATAAGTCAAGCACTTGTAACGGTTTGTTTTGTACTGGTTTATGCTTTCGCGTGTGTTTGCAACCCGCACTCTTCCACTGGCAAAAACTTTGCTCCAAAGGTTGCAAACTGCGGCAGAACTCTTGAATGCAGCACGATGGAACTTCAGAAACCTGTAAATGCGGGACCACTCATCCAAGCAGGGCATTGGTCGAGCATTCCAGAAGCGAAAGGGAACTGGCCCCTACAATGTAGACGCTAAACCCTATACCCAGCAAAACCTAAAACCCTAAACGCGAAGCCCCGGCAGTCCAGGGCCCCAAAGGCTGTGGCAAGGGGAAAGGTCTGCAGACCTGAAGGAAGGCTCCTGGCAATTAAGTAATCTAGGGTTTGGTGCGTAGGGTTTATGGTTTAGGGTTGAGGGCTTAAGGTTTAGAGTCTGGGCCCTTAGTATAGGCCCGTACCTGTTTCTGGAGCCTTTATAAGAGGGCCATGATAAGTGAATAAGTTCCCCAGGAAGACATGGCCCATATTAGTGGACCACAGCTTTTACCTTCTAATGTAAAGGTATAGGGTTTAGGGTGTAGGGCTACAGTCAATACATTCCATTTGACTGCTGGACATGGGTTCCTACTAGGCAACATATTCGGGACTATACTAAACTATCAAATGGCCCACTATGTCCACCCTTCAGTGCCTCTTGGTAACCCTAACATTGGCAATAGCTTATATAGACGGGAGTGGACACGAAACATGCAAACGATGTTTAGGTTTAGGGCCTAAGGTTCTTGGGAGTGTCGGGGTTAAGGTCTAAAGGCTGCAAGATACTAACGAGAAACTCTCGGACTCTTCGAAATCAGTTATCTTCTTCTTTGGTTTGCATGTTGTGGCTCCTGCGAGAAGGATTCCTATATCATTCCTATACCTTCGGGCTTGCTCTTTGTAAGCCGCCTTTTCGTTTTTCGGATTCTGCTTCCAGGAGGATCCCAGTCTTTCGGCATTTGCAGAGATTAAGCCTTCACTTTCTGTACAGCCCCCCACTCATGATATAACAACTGGAAAATCTTTATAATATACCCATATAGCCCTTAATATGACCTCTATCAAAACTTTTTACAGGGTGGGAGCACTAACCGGCCTGAGCCTTAAATCCTAAACCAAAAATAGTAGCTTCCATTGCCTTGTCCATAATCCCAAATCCGTATATGGGGGTTTCCCAAGATTAGGGGTACCTTTTTGGGGCGTCTCTACAATAAGGATAATAGTATTTTGGAGTCTATATTGGGGGGTCCCCCTATTTTGTGAAACTACCATATAGTGCCTGGGTGGGGACAGGACCCAAGGAGGGAACTTCATAATCTCCTGGCTTTCCCTCTTTTGGAGCACCGACAGCATTCCCTGTCGGCATGGTTTAGGGTTTGTGGTTCAGGATTTACGGGTTTAAGGGGGGAGTTCATCAAGAAAGCCCTGAAAACCCTTGAGTCAATTTTCAAAATCCCATAACGGTTTCTACGCATTTCTGAGATACTGACCTCTGCTTTTTCTGACTCAACCTTAACAGAACCATATGGTCAGCGGGGGCCGAATGAGCGGCTGCAAACGCTGCTTCAAGATATAATCCCCCTTAAGTGGATAGAATATGGCTTTGGGTATACTATAACAAGATCCCCATATACCCTATATTCTATCTACTTAAGGGGGACTATAAGAACAACAGACAATAAGAGCTCACTTGCTTCCACGCATTTTCAAACCATGAAGCCCCAGGGCTCCCACTTATCTGAATAGTGGTTACTGGGCTATGCCCTAAACCCTAGGGCCTAAAACCCTAAACCCAGGGTTTAGGGTTTAGGGTTTGGGGTTTAGGGTTTAGGGCTGGAGGTCAAGGGGAAGTACATCAACCTAGCAGCTTTGTGAGCCTGCGGTAAAACAACTGACAGCCCCTTCCACCACTTGCCGGGCGGACGTGAAGCTCATGGAGTCTCCCAACCGGCCAACATAGTTGGGGCGGATATACCTTGCTTGGAGGTTCAGTGCGCATAACGAAAGTACAACTTTACTTGAAGCCCACTATAAGCACCCTAAGTTCCCTAAAGCCGTAGCTGAGTCTCAAGTACCAGTTACGGTTGGGGTATAATTACCCTGAACTTTCAAGTGGGCGGTTGTTGGGATTGTTGCGCGTCTGCAATATCCGTGAACCTGCTTTGAGCAGACAACGCCTCAAGGCACGTGCAGAACTTAGATACAGACTGATCCCTTCCACGAATAGTCAGCACCCGCCATCCCGAATTTCTAGTATGCATAGGGTCTCTGTGTAGGAATAGTCTATGTCAGTGCCTGGGGGGGTGTTTACCAAAGGAGAAAGTGAGTCATCAGCACGAACTCCTTATCAACCTAAGAATACTTGGGGGGTCAGGGGGACTTAGTAAGTATACCTATACCTAACCCTAATAAGCCATGTAATAACCCCAGCTATCCCCTTTATTAATAATCTACTTACACAGTCCCCATGACCCTCCAACCCTAATCCCTAAACCCTAAACCCTAAATAGTAGTTTCCATTTTCTTTTCCATTATCCTCATTCTTAACCCAGTAAGAGATCATCAACCAACCTCCAGGGCCAATTACTTTCTTAAGCAGACTTGTACAGAGCTCTGACACCTCGTGGAATTAAGGTTTTGAAGTTAATTAATGCGGTGCCTGTACTTAAGAAAGGGGTCCCTGAACCCCAAAAATATGTAAAATTATGGCCTTTGGGGCTATATTTACGTGTTCGTTTACCTTCTTTTGGGGCTCAGAGCCCTAAACCATAAACCCTGACTTGGGAACAACCGAATCTGTTCGGCAAGGGCTTGCTGCGGCCCATGCCTGCCTAAGTCTACGGTTCAGGGTTTGGAGATGTTGGGAGTGTACTGAATTCAGGGCTTATGTTTGGGGTTTAGGGTTCAGGGCTTATGTCTAGGGCTAAGGGTTTAGGGCTCAGGGTTTATGTTTAGGGTTTGGAGTTTAGGGTTTAGGTTAAAGGTTAAGGGTTTAGAGTTTAGTAAAGTTGTTGCCGAATCATGGAGCAACTGCAAGCAACATGTGGCCGCGGCGGTGTCTGGAGGAACCTCCATGCGAATGCCTTGACGCTCCGCACCCTCAACTCTGCTGGACTGTAAACTGGCCGCTTCAGCACCGTGAACCGCAAGGCATATCAGCAGTTTCCCAAAGTAGGGGGACCCCAATATGGACCCAAAATACTATAGTCCTTGTAATGGAGACCCCCCAAAATGGTACCCCTAATTTTGGGAAACCCCCGCCATATGCCCCGTATTAACCAAAAAGTGCCATCAACCTCGACCCAAGCTTAACACCTGGCAGCCTCAAGTGCGAGCTCCCAGACAAGGGTGTTTTTCGCTTAGGGATCTTGATGTGGGCTGATTACACACAATTCGTCATTCAACAGTGCAAAGTTTGGGAACCCAAAGAACCCTGAAGCCCAAGCAAAGGCCTGATAGTACGCTGAGCTCTGACATCGCGGTTTAGGGTTTAGGGTTTCCAAAGTCTGCGCAACCATAAACCATAAGCTGAACACGCCAAAATCTCACCCTCCCGCGAAATAAGATGAAAACCACCCTCCAAGTCGTCTATTCAAGGACGCTTTCGGGTTTCCATGCTAGTTGAAGATCGTATGTATGCCCTAAACCCTCAACGTCTCTAGACATCCCTCTATGCCCCCTAGCCCTTTTGATGGGAGCCCCTTTGGGAAGCCTTGGGGATAGTAAGGGCCCTAGAACACCTCCATCCCAAAGCACTAAACCAAAGCACCCCATCCTAAACCCTAATCCCTAAACCCTGCACCCTAAACCCTACAAATCCCTAAACCCTACAAATCCCTAAACCCTACATCCCAAACCCTCATCCCAAACACTACACCCTAAACCCTACAAGCACTCAACTCCGTGTCCCAGTTGCTCGTCCGCCTTCGACCCAAGCCATCGGCCCATCGGATGGGAAGCTGGGTACTGAAGGATGAAGCCCTGTGCAGGTTTGAAATTTGGGGGGTTCCATATGGCTGGTTGTCAAAATTATGGTCCTTTTTTGGGTAGCCTAAATATTAGGGGCCGTATTAGAATAGGGACCCAAAAAGGGACAATAATTTTGATAACCACCCTTCTGAGCTATAGTCAAAAAATTCCTAGTATCCCCCTTAAGAACCCCTATAATACTCCCCTATAGAATCTCCTACATAACCCCTCTTAAGGAGTTTAGACTATAGCTCATATTGCGTGTTGAGGGTTCAGGGTGTAGGGTTTAGGGTAGGCTAAGGATTTAGTGTTTTGAGTTTGGGATTTAAGGTTTAGGCACAGTGGCAGTACTTGTGCTGAACACTCCACGAAATCAAGGGTCTCGGGGTGTGGGCTGAG